GTTAATGGCCACGCCACTCGCCCCAGGTCATTGCCGTTCGGACCCCTGCCAGACCACGCCACTTACCGTACGAACTGACCTTACACTTCAGGTCATGTCGAGCGGGCAAGGCCATGTCACCGAACCGATCCAGATTCCAAGGCATGCGGTCCGGACCCCTGTCAGGCCACGCCACTCACTGAACGGACCTAACTCCCAGGTCAGTCGCCGTCCGAGCTCCTGACAGGTCATATCACTCACCCAACTGGCCTGACCTACCTGATCATACGCCGGTCGAACCTCTACCAGGTTACGTCACCGAACTGACCTAACTTCCCCCGACCTCCTTGTCCCAGACCACTGGCGTGTTCCAGGCCTCCACCCCCGGGCGATAGATCGGAGCGGGTACCTACCGTCTCAACAGCCGTAATAGGCGCCGCTCTCGTGCCGCTGTCCCATCTCCTCCCCCCCCCCCTGGCCGGCCGAGCCCAGCGAAGGCACGCCGCGTTGGGCCGCGGTGCCGCCTGGGGCGCTCCGTCGCTCCCCCTACAGGCATATGACACTCGCTCCGAGCCCGCCGAGCCAGCCGGCGGGCGCCGGCCCGAAGTCCGCAGCTGTATGGGACACTCCAAGTCAGTCACGTGACACCCCCCGCCAGGCGCGAGGTGCCCAGACGCGTGCCCCAGAGAGTGTCCCGACCGACGCCGAGGGCCGACCTGCCGTAAAAGGGGCCAACGGTCATAATCAGCTGTAAGCGGCGGCCCGCTCGCGTCACCGCTGCCCGTTGACGCCCAGCGGCCGGCGCTGGGCCAATGAGAACAACGATCCCAGTGCCGGCGGTGCTCCGCCCGCCGCCTCGGCGCTCCCACGACGCGGCCGCTAGGAGGGGGGGGGGGAGGGGCATCCCGATCGCTAAGGCCGAGCCCACGGGCGATGAAGGCATCTCACTGCTGCCAGCGGCTGCTAGGTACTGGCCGCTGCCAGTCCCTCCGACTCATAACATATGTCTAGGGGCACATCACTGTTACACGGATGGCCGGGAGCCCGGCCCACCCGCTCGCCACCGCGACGGTCCGTATTGTCTCAGGACGGTCATACTCGTCCCGCCTTCCCCTCCCCCCGGGCCCCCCTCCTCCTCCCGGCCGACCGTCCAAGCCCAACGAGGGCGGCGACCCCGCCGAGCCGCCGCGCCGCGGCCGACCCGGCGCGGCGGTCGCCCGACGGTCATATAACACGTCCCGCGCCGCCCCGGTCGGCGCCGAATACGGCCTGCCAGAAAAGGACACCGTCGCTCATAAACCAGCTGTGGACACAAACCAGCGGATCCCGAGACGGTGACACGCCGTCTGCGGCGTGCCGCGCCCGTGGTGGACGCCCGCTTGCGCCGCAGCCAGCGTCCGCCGCTGGGCCGCTCTGGCCGGGTCGTGTGAGAATTATCCCCCAACCCACTCGTCGGGTCAGTCACTATTCTGGCGCAGGCCAGACCAGCCGGTAAGCCACCACGGCCAACCCGGCAGCCACCGGCCGGTTGGTCATCTGGCGTTACCAGGCCAGCCGCCTCAACCGATCCATTACCACGTAAAGCTGGGGCGCTATCCGATCACCCGCCGCGGTGACCTATGGCCCGCTCGCCCACCGGCCGGACCAGTTCCCAGGTCAGGGCCGATGCGACCGCTGCCAGGCCACGCACCGAAGTGACCTAACATTACCAGGCCATGTCGCTCAGACCCCTCCGTGTCGCCCGCCGTACTGACCTCTCATTCCCAGGTCCGTCGCCGATCCGGCCCCTGCCAGGTCTACCGAACTGACCTAACAATCCCAGGTCAGTTTTCGAGCCCGTCTATGGCAAGCCACGCGCCGCTGAAGTAACATTTCTCTGTAACCGGCCTCACCGAACCGGCCTCAGCCCGAACTGGCCTCCGCCAGGCGTCGTACCGAACTGACCTAACATTCCCAGGTCCGTCGCCGAACCCAAGTCAGTCACCGAACCGTTCCGGCCGAGCCGGCCTCGCCGAACCGGCCTCTGTCCGCACCGGCCTCTGCCAGGCCTCGCGCCGAGCTGACCTAATATTCCCAGGTCAGTCGCTGAACCGGCCTCGCCAACCGGCCTCTGTCCGCACCGGCCTCGCCGAACCGGCCTCTGTCCGCATCGGCCTCACCGGACCGGCCTCACCGAACCGGCCTCTGTCCGCACCGGCGCCGTCACTCCGCCGCGCCGGCGACTGTCGCAGCTAACGCAGGCAAACACCCCCGGGCCGGTCCGAGTGCCCGTCACCCCGGGCCGGTCCACAGCGCCCGTCCAAACAAGTCGGCGGGCACCCCCGCCGACGCCCCAGAAACCGCCCCGCGCGTGTCAACACCGGCGCCGCGCGGACGGGAGACCGCTGCCCCGCAACCCCCCCCCCCAGGCCGGCCGCCACGTGGACGGGAGAGATAGAGAGAGAGAGAGAGAGAGAGAGAGAGAGAGAGAGAGAGAGAGAGAGAGAGAGAAAGAGAGAGAGAGAGAGAGAGAGAGAGGGAGAGAGAGGGAGAGAGGCGATAACGTCTCGCGGAGCGTGAAATACAAGACGGTTCAGTTCGGCACGAACTCCGACCCGGCCAGAGGCGTGAGCACGACCACGCCGGTCCCGCCGCGTGCACGGCCAACAGCACGGACCCGGGCGACAGTTCCGCACTGACTCCTGCAATACGACCCAAGTCGGTGATTGCATAGCCCCCCCCCCCGGCCAGCGCCACCGCGCGCGCGCCACGCAATCCGACCCAAGTCGACGATTGCATAGCCTCCATCCAGCGCCACCGCGCGCGCGCCTTGCAAATCGACCCAAGTCGACGATTGCCTGCCTCCGTCCAGCGCCGCCGCGCGCGCGCCTTGCGATCCGACCCGAGTCGACGATTGCGTGCCTCCGCCAGCGCCACCCCGCGCGCCACCTTACCACTCGGCCCCGTCCGCCGCTGACCTTGTTCCGCACTGACTCCTGCAAACCGACCCAAGTCGGCGATTGCATAGCCCCCCCCCCCCGCCAGCGCCACCGCGCGCGCGCCATGCAATCCGACCCAAGTCGACGATTGCATAGCCTCCATCCGGCGCCGCCGCGCGCGCGCCTGCAATCCGACCCAAGTCGACAATTGCATCCGCCTTGCCATGCATATCGACCCAAGTCGACAGTTGCATGGCGCGCCAGCAATTCGACCCAAGTCGACAATTGCATAGCCTCCATCCAGCGCCGCCGCGCGCGCGCCTGCAACTCGACCCAAGTCGACAATTGCATCCGCCGCTTACCTTGCCATGCAATTCGACCCAAGTCGACAATTGCATAGCCTCCATCCAGCGCCGCCGCGCGCGCTCCTGCAATTCGACCCAAGTCGACAATTGCATCCGCCACTTACCTTGCCATGCAATTCGACCCAAGTCGACAATTGCATCCGCCACTTACCTTGCCATGCAATTCGACCCAAGTCGACAATTGCATAGCGCGCCAGCAATTCGACCCAAGTCGACAATTGCATGCCTCCATCCAGCGCCGCCGCGCGCGCTCCTGCAATTCGACCCAAGTCGACAATTGCATCCGCCACTTACCTTGCCATGCAATTCGACCCAAGTCGACAATTGCATGGCGCGCCAGCAATTCGACCCAAGTCGACAATTGCATAGCCTCCATCCAGCGCCGCCGCGCGCGCGCGCCTGCAACTCGACCCAAGTCGACAATTGCATGGCCTCCGTCCAGCGCCGCCGCGCGCGCTCCTGCAATTCGACCCAAGTCGACAATTGCATCCGCCACTTACCTTGCCATGCAATTCGACCCAAGTCGACAATTGCATGGCGCGCCAGCAATTCGACCCTAGTCGACAATTGCAAAGCCTCCATCCAGCGCCGCCGCGCGCGCGCCTGCAACTCGACCCAAGGCGACAATTGCGTCCGCCGCTTACCTGCCATGCAATTCGACCCAAGTCGACAATTGCATAGCCTCCATCCAGCGCCGCCGCGCGCGCGCCCGCAATCCGACCCAAGCCGACAATTGCATGCCTCCCCAGCGCCACCGCGCGCGCCACCTGCGACTCGGCCCCAGCCGCCAGACCCCTGCAATCCGACCCAAGTCGGCGATGCATAGCCCCCCCCCCCGCCAGCGCCACCGCGCGAGCGCCATGCAATCCGACCCAAGTCGACGATTGCATAGCCTCCATCCAGCGCCGCTGCGCGCGCGCCTGCAAATCCGACCCACGTCGACAATTGTATGCCTCCGCCAGCGCCACCGCGCGCGCCACCTCGCAACTCGGCCCCGGCCGCCACTTGCCTTGCCCCCCCCCCCCCCCCGGCGCCCGCCGCCCCCCCGGCGCCCGCGGCCTCCCTACCGCCGCGTACCCCCCTGCCCGCACCCGTGTTGCTTCCCCGCCCCGCAGCCTATCGCTGCGCCCACCTGCCACCGGTCATCCTGCTGTCCGCCACCTATCTCCATTGTCGTTGTCCTGTTGTTCGATCCACTAGGCCAAGTATCCGCCGTGCACACCGTGCAACACTCAACCGGCGTCTCCTAAGCCAGAGCACTGCTCTCCGCACTTCCATCACAAATATGGAGTAGGTCCCTGTGTCGCGCCGTCACTCCTCTCCTCTCGCGGTCGCGGCCGCTCCCCGACTGAGCTCCCCATGTTATTGCCCGCCCGTCGTGTTTGCGCGCGTCCGTCCCCCGGCTCAGTGCCGGCTGGTCGCGGCTGGAGCCCTCAACGGGTCTTATCGGCGGCGGCCGATAAGACGGTCATTACCGAAGGTCAAGGTCTCAGTTTTCAAAAGTATCTACATATGAAGCCCATCGGCAAAGCCGCGGACACGATATAATTACTTAGGAACTAGGAAGAGAAACCAAAACATTTACAAATAATGATTCATTGCTCAGTAAGCATACTTTTTATGTATGCTCAACTTTTATGAGCATAAATTACAATATTTTCATAAAACTAAGTTGAAAAGAAAAAAAGGAATTCACCAAAGGAATAAGGCGCATAACAATACTGAATAAAGTACCTACCTGTAAACCAGGTGTATTTCTCAGCGCGCGACACACGCAGCTACATAATCACAACTGTTCGGACCTCGGTCCACTCAGGTCGGCCGCCCGACCTTGACACCGGCTCGGGTCGGTCACGTGATCAGCGCCTCGCCTCGGGCGCCGTGGGCCACGCAGCGGTCCGGCACGAGCGGTGAGTCAAGGGGTCAGGGGATGGAGTCTGCTGCACCCGCTGGTAAAAAAGCCTACCCAGTATCCACTCTGATACATCAAATAAGCCGCCTTAGGATAATTACAGAATAAGCTTTGCATCAGCTGAAGAAATATCGGACGTGCCTCATTTATCCTCAATAACAGCTCAATTTCTTAGTGCAATGGCGGTTAACCTGCCGAAAGAATCTGATAGGCTGATAAAGATGTATCGATTATCGATAGCTATTACAGGAATTTACACAATCCTCCATTTATTAGTACTTCGGCTTTCAATAGCGTTGCCTGTATAAATGGAGAATAGCATTATCTGTGTCCGATTAAGTCGCGCGGAAGGTCGTGTGACTTGTTTAACAGCCCAACTTCTGGGAACACGACCATTTGCAACCGAACGGCACATGCCAGACTTCGAATCGCGAGATCATTAATCTATGTAGCTATCTACCTAAAAGCTAATCTATTCAGTAAACACTAGGCATGCGGTATGTTAGTGAGGTCTCAATTAGACCTGCTAATTTGTGGTAATGTCAGCATTGTATGCTAATTGAGAAAAAGCGAATGCCTTGTGATTGAATTCAAAAGGCACTCATGGAATACAGTAAAGTTGCACATCGCAAAGACCCGTCCTAGCGTTGATGCACATAGCTAACGATGCGACGTCGCTCTTTTACCCCGCCTACGCCTTCGGAATCCCGATAATGAGAGTGCGGGAAATCGAATTCAGGGAAATTAACTTTACCATATGCATCTTCTACCCGGTTTGTTTTGGCTTCGATACACGGCCAATTTGTTTGACCATTGCGTATTTATGTACTCCAGCACCCATTAACCTACAGATAATGCAGAAAATGTCACGGGCATGCGACTACTGAAGATCCACTGACGTTGCGCTGTTACATAGCACCGTCACAGCCCACAGCACTTTCGTTAATGCCCAATTGGGTAGGCATGTAAGCACTGGTGAATCCAGTGGTCTTGTGGTCTTGAACGGTGGAAACAAGAACGGTGGAAACAAGAACGAAACAAGAACAAGTGGAAACAAGAACGGTGGAACTTGAAAGGTGGTCTTGAACGTCGCGGCGGTTAGGTACCCGAAAAGAGCTTCTTCATGTTCTAAAAACTCATCGGATTAAATGCTCACTGCTGTGCAAGTTAAAACAAACTTTACCACATAAACGTTGTTTAGTTTTCCTTTTGTTCTCGAAAAAGGCATTTTTTGTCAATTTCTGGAATCTGGCGCCACAGCGAGGACATTTCCCCTACATAAGGCCCCCCCCCCGGATCTGCCAGTGTATGTATGTTGCAGCGGCTGCCGGCTCTTATAAGTCCCTCATCTTAGCGTGAATTATTTATTCGAGGAAGCCGGTGACATTTTGTTTTCAGGCAAATATCAACATCGATGAAAGATTTTCAAAAAAGCTAAGCGCTTGGACAGATTGACAAAAAAGGAGCAGTTTTGCTTGTTTCTTACTTTGAGGATGTTTCTAGTAATTGTCAGAGGGATGTGTGTGGTCGCCGGCCATGCGAGGACGTGATGCGATGTGGACATATGCCTGGTTATAATTATATGTAGTTTGTTCTTGTTTGTCATTTTTTCAAAATCAAATGGACGCAATTACTTATTGTAGCCGGCTGCATGCCTATTGACAATGACTCTCAACAGGCCTCTGAAGTCCTGTTCTTCCCTGAATGGTATGCTTAGTGCAATGATTGATGGCCGTTATTATGATAAATTAAATGAGAAATAATTCACCGGGATACAATAGTACTGCTGGCGCTGTTGTAATAATGTAATGCTATCCCTGAACCCTACTCCATGGGCTCTACCAGGCCATTTTCCAGGAGTAAATTATTACTATTCTAACTTCAATTGCCGTTTCATTGCTGTTTTGGTGTATTTGATCTACATATATGGTGATATACATTTACATATCAGTTCCTATAGCACTGGTCTTTAACCCTCGCGGAACCGGGTGGGGGGGGGGGGGGGATTTCGCCCCTCTCCCCTGGGAAATATTAGTGATAGCTCCCAAACGGTTAGGGATAGGAAAGAAAAACTTTTCACTGCCTTTTCCCCACCAACTTGACATCTTCTGGAGTAAACAAATTGGACCTAGCCCTCTTGATGAGGTCACAGGGTCGATTTTTTTGGACCCCTGCACGGCAAACTTTGGCGTCACAGACGTGAACTTAAAAAAGCTGCCAAAAATAAAGCTTTAGAGATAGAGATAAATTGCGAGGACGACTGTGTAGCGCTTGACCTTGTTAAAAAGGAAAAATGGTGAAGGTCAGAGGTCAGGTTAACGACCACGAGTTGGGTTTTAGTTGTTGTTGTTTTTTTAATAACTTCAACAAAATGATCCTGGAGCTCCGGCAGTAGCACCAACCCATTCATATTGTTAAGCAATTCATCTTGTCAACTCATCTTGTCATCTTGTCTAGTCGAATGACATTTGTTTGGCAAAGGTCAAGTTTTATGTTGAACTCACGTGATGTTGGGTCATTGGGTGCTTTAGAATCGTCACGTTAAGACGTTTTGTTTGGCACCGCTTATGGTTCCGTAGCTCCCTTATTTACGGAGTTAGACAAGCAGGCGAAAAAGGCCCCCGGCTGCGGTAGTTGAGATTTTCTCCGCCCCCGAAGTTTATCCCCCAGCTTGAAGTGTAAGCAATGCAGCATATTATTAGACTTTTGAAGTTCCTTTCAGAAAGTGCCAGCTGAATTCTGAAGGAAGGATGGCGGCATCCTACCCTGGCCCTGCCAACCCATTTTTCTGCTCTCGGAAAGGGAGGTCACCCACCACTGACCTGACCTGAAGGCTCAGCTCGACAAGCACAGCGGGGGGTGGGGGGGGGCACAGAACACAGGGAAAATGTGACCGGAACTTGCGCGCTTTGTAGATCGACATTCACTGAATGAATCCGGGCTGAAGCTGGGACGCATTTGCTGTTTTGATGGACACTATTTTATCAGACTAAGTGTGCAATCGGACAGCAAGGATGCTTAAAGGAAAAGGGCCACCTTCGTGAAATATGAAGATAGGTATCGTTGTTTTCCATTTTGACATTATTATTTTTCATTTTCTTTTTAAAACTGGTGCCAGAAGTGCACAATTCGCGAAAAAGTATTTAAAACTATTTAACATATTGGTACTATGTTGATACTCTCTACGGCACCTACTGTATGATGGCATAGCGATGACGTCACACTCAAGCCAATCAGCGTTCAGAAGACAGACTCGTCGGATTGTGTCAGATAAGCTGATTGGTTAAAGCTGAGCTGGTTGGAGCTGATTGGTAAAAAACCAAAGCCTCGCCGCGGGTGGCTGTATTGTCGGATAAGAACGCATTCCTGGGATAAGGACGCATTCCTGGCGTATTTTCTTTTAAAATTGCCGATAACTACGAATGGAGGCCGAAATCGGCCGTAAGGAGGTAAACAGATAGGTTTTCGGTCACGGGCTACAAGATGGCTATCTCAGTTTCAATCCCCATGTTAAAGGTGGCCCTTTTCCTTTAATTAACCCGGCACCGCCTGGGCTATTTCCGTACCCACGACAGCCGCGGGGGGGGGGGTCGGATCCGACCTCCCCCCCCCCCCTGTTATCTCGAGAACCAATGGTCGCATCGAGCCCCGCGAGGCGGCGTTCGAAAGGTCTCTACGAGACCTTCCCAAAGCACTCTTAAGATTTTAAGATTGAGGTCAAATTTTGGGTCAAGGTCAGGTCAAAGGTCAAATTCTGGGGTTTTGCATGATTAGGCTCACGGACAGCGGAATCGACAGCTGCTGCTCGAAACTCACCAAAAATGACCTCAAAGACCTAGTGAAGGTACCATGTGCGTATAGGGGTCATACTAAGTACGGGTCAAGGTCAGGTCAGGTCACGAAAGGTCACGGTTTTCACTTTCTGCTACATGGGCGTGCGACACATGCTTTATGGCTTATTTTTCACGCCGAATCCGATGGTAATGATTATATGTGACCCCAAGTCACTGTGCTGGTGATAAGTGTGCATTGAAAGCATAAAAAAATCGTTTATACCATACATAACTAAACGAGGGCTAAGAAAAAAGTTCAATTTTTCAACTTTTTATTTTTGACATAAAAATGCACTTTTCCAGACGAGCTTTGTCCCAGGAATCTAGTGGTGCCATTTGTTTTCACATGCGATGCTCAGAAGTGCCTCTAATTCACGAAAATGCTTATGACGTCACCATGCCCTATGCATATTGGAGCTATTTTTTACAATTTGGGGGTCAAAAATTAAGATAGAAAGTTGAAATTTGGGACATTTAATGTTCTAATAGAGCTCTATAACATATATTCCGTTTTTTTTGGAAATTCTCAAAATTTTGGATTTTATTAGCTGTTTTCCAAAAAATGTAGTTTTTTAAATTTTTAGGGGTAAAAAACGCATTTTATGGAAAATCCGAGATAGCCATTTTAAAGAACTCGTTGAGCTGCGTCTATTCATGTCCTTAATTTGCAACTTCCAAAACCCTGATTTTTGGCGATTTTTTAAACATTTACCACTTTTTGACTGAAAACGCCATGTAGTTACGTCACTAAAATCGATATATCTAAAAAAATTGGAATTTTTTTCTTAAAAATTGCACAGAAAACGTCAAATTGATGGGGGATAAGGTATGCCAAGTTTCAAGTCGATAGCGTAAGCGGTTCATAAGTTATTCAAGAAAAACCGAGGGGGGTCGGATCCGACCCCCCCCCCCAGGCGGTCGCGGGTTAAGAAGGGATGATTATTTGACTTTGGACGTCCAAAGTCTTTTCCAAGGTCCAAAGATTTAAGGTCCCTCCTCAGGGAAGACTTTGAGCGATTATTTTAAAACACGACAGACTGTGGATTCTGGTGACCGGTATCTACTCAGATGACATTTCAA